ATAACCAGTGTTGATCTAGTTAGCTTACTCAAAGAATGTAATATATTACTCATTACTAGTTACTCATTTAAAAAGTAATATTGTTCTTTACTTATTACTTTCTGGCAACAATAATTAGTTACACTACTAGTTACATTACTTTTTCTTCACTCCCCACAAAAGTTGTAACTGTGTATCTTCCACATAAAATTCTAATGATTGATAGTGACATTCAAGCAGAAGTGTTGTATTAATCTCATTTCTCCGTTACCCATATACGATTCCTATTTCATTAAGTTTGTAAGAAACTTTAATTTTCCAAAAAGATTTTTAATTATAGTAATATAATGCTGATCAGATAATACCACATGCTGATCAGAGGGATGTGGGTTGGATGTAATGCCAGAGTAAAGTAAAGCCACAACTTACACAAAAGTGCTCATGATAATCTTTTTTCCTGACAAAATCAATATAATGATTTTAATCATGAATTTAAGCTTTTCCATATTCCAAGCTTGCCTGCTGCACTGGGTGTGCGAGTCGTGAAAATTATGAAAATAAATCTAGGAATTATTTGATTGTTGGATTTTAAATCAGCGGGGTTGAGGCATCAAAAGTAACTAAGCTGTTTTATGGCTGGTATCTGTAATATTATTACTGAAATCTTATTAGTAATTAGTTACACTACTAGTTACAGCAAAAATTAATATTATTACAATTACTAAGTTACTACTATTACTGCCCAACACTGGTTATATATATATATAACTATTTTCGTTAAATTAAATATATATTTATAAAAAAATATTTATAAATTATTCTTTATCTCTATAACTATTTTCTTTCATCTAAGGGTTCAATTAAATATAATATTACAATGCAAGACTGCAGTCAACAGATTTTGTGGCAATAATGATGTTGATTATTATGAAATTTAAATTCCAGTTTAACTTCTTTGTGAATGGGACCATTCCATAAACATTAAAATACTGACTGTTTCACTAATATAGACACAAGGCGTAAATATGCTAGTTATTTGCAAAAAACAACAACTGTAAACCTGATTAGAACAGCTCAAATAATACACAAGAAAAAATTATTAATGTAAATGCTTTTTAAAAAATTAGAAGCTTCACATTTCTGCTTTTAAATCCGTCCAAAATTGTCATAAATGCTTTTGATTGAGCTGAATTTGAATTGAACCCTGGATATTCCTGTTTTAAGTATAAATCCATGCATCCTTTTTAAGTTATAGTAAAAATGTATTCCATCACTGAATCAGTCCTGCCTCTGGAGTCCATAACCTCCTCAGAACACCCAGCAACACCATTAACATTCACTGTGAGGCTGTCCACACACAACTGGCCGAGTCATTTTTCAGTTCTCACACACAAACTAAAAATGAAGTGCAATCGTTTCCACGTTTCTTAAGATAACATTATGAAAGGGCGCAAGCATGGAGTGCTATAGCAATCAGAAAGTTTTGTTTAGGGCGGTCGATGGGGATTGAAGGAATGGGGTCAGAGGAGAAGGAGAATGATGTTACAGTGCAAAGTTTGGGTTCATATGTGGGACAATGGCACTGCTGTGTGACTTCACAGGTCTGGAACATTACGAGTTGTCAGCGGCAGTGCTTGAATGGGCAATAGACAGAGCAGATTTTTCTTCTGGCCAATTCCTTAAAGACCCAAATGGAGGTGGAAATTACAAGAAAAACACTTCAAACATTACTAAATACCTCAGAGAGCAAGAACATGTAATACATAGAGCATTTAAAGAATTAAATCAAAATTTGACTTTTGAAGTGTTTTTGTCTGTTACCTTTCATGTGCTAGTATGCGTATAGCAAATATGCAGATTTTTGCTTCATTTCATTTCATTTTACTTTAATTTATTTTTTATTAATTTTAATTGAATTTAAATTCTCTAGAATGTGAATGTCTGCCTCTAAAACCACCTGGAAATGTTTAGTAGCAAGTCCTGGCTCATGGTTGTGGTTTAAAGTCAAAGTTATGGGTATTTATTTATTTGCTTATTTATTTCAGATT